AAGCGTGTGAAGCATGGTTGTTTTCCTCAGAAAGCGAAGGGAGTATTCTCCACTCTGCCCTATCAGCCGATCACGTAAGGTGAGCTCTTCCAGATTGTGCGGGACGAGATCTGGAACGTCTCGAAAGAAGGCCATGTTTGCACACTCCTCGATGCCGGTCAGACTGATAGATCGCAGCTGTGAGAAGCGTCCTAGCAAGGGGCCCAGCAACACACCATCCTCCAAATGTGTGATGGGACCACAGAGATCTATAGACTGGAGGTTTGGACAATTGAGACATAATGCATTCATGAGCCAGAGTGAGAGTGTACCACTGTCTTGTCGGAAGCTCTTTAGACACGGGCGGAGCAGTGTTAATGCTGAGTCGACATGAAGTTGTGCGCAAGACTTGATGTGCAAGTGTCGAAGATTGGGCAATCTCAACTGGCTACATACCTCCTCCGAGCCTTTTCTGACCATCAAGCTGTGGATAACGGCAGCGAGAGTTTGGCGTTTCTCCGGCGACGCATCGACCAAGACCTTTTGGAGTGTCGCGCTGGAGATTCTGGCCCAGATTCGTGAAAATGTGATATCGAAGCATCTTCGGTCCAGGAGTGACAGGTTGCACAGAGCCTCAATATCGCACTCCAAAAGATCGCCAATCATGCAAACGATTTCGTTTGGCAGACGTTGGAGTGATGGGGGTGACGACATCTCGTGATTTGATTGATAAGTCCAAGTTGCCCAAGCTGGAAGATTTGTACGTAGACCAGGGTGGGGCATGGAATGCGGATCCGGGGAGATCGAGGGTGAGAAGCGCGGCGCTGGAAATGGGTAAGTAGCAATATTGGGCTGTGAAAATTCGGTCGCAGAAGGTGCGCTTGATCCACAAGGTAGGTGCCACCATGAACAATCACATCGGCTGGCTCACAACAATCCCGTCGGTTTTCACTTCAATGCTACGTAGTTTTGAGTTTTGCAAGATTTCGTCTCACAATCTTTCTTATCGTCCTTCGATGCCTATGCTTCTTAGACCGATGATGAGGGCAGCCTGCGTATGGAGCTGGAAAGAACAGTGGCAGAATCGCTGACATGAGGTCACAACCTCAGCACCTTAGTAATTGACCAGCCGAGCTTGACCAGCTTTGTGACGAGATCTTGCTTCTTTGCTAGACCAGAACGCGGTCACCGATGCTCAAATCACTATTCCGCCAAGCAGCACCGAAACCGCCTGCGTAGGGAAGGATTCGAGCTCGACGTAATCAGTCTTATTGGGGATCTTGCTCACACGGTCGAGGTTGATAGTGAGAGCGTGAATGTGCCCAGCGAGCACGGCGGCACTGTTACGTGCGTTTCAGTCGTCACCCACAATGAAATTAGTCAGACTGCTTCTGTTACATTCGATCATATACTTGCCACTACGCTCGATACGCCAAGAGTCTCTCTTGCTGAGTATGATGAAATCAAGCCGCTTGCCAATAAGAACAGACGAGCATTAGCATCAACATTGTAGAGCGAGGAGTAAGTAGAAGTCTAGAAGAAGACATGTTTGGGAATCAATAGGAAAGAGCAGCGGCTTCTAAATGCATCCACGAACCAGACAAACAACAAGCGGAGGCGATAAGCTACATAAACCATGACACCTTCTTCTGTAAGATGGACTAAGTTATGAAAATATAACTCCTCTGCTACAGAAGATACACCAGCATGAAACCAGAGCCCCTCCAGCCATTGGCAAACAGTGGCTCGACCTTGGCTCTTGTGCTTGTAGGCTTAGGCATTGCCTTGGTGGCCGGAGCGACGGCAGACACGAATCGACAGGATCCGAGTGCGAATTCTGAGAGCGTTGTTCCTGGCTCTGATGAGATAGAATCGAGCTCCTTTGGCTGGCAAGCCTCGTAGCTCAGGCGGACCGACATGTGAAGAGCTGGTGTTGGTTGAGACAAGTATCTTGGCGTGAGAGCTGGCGATTAGGTCGAGACGGTCGAGGGGTGGCTCGAGGAGGGCGTTCTGTGTTGGATTGGAGAGTGCGCGGTACGGAGAATGGGAGACGGCGCTCTGCGGCAGGTCGAACGTGGTGTTCTGCATGAAGTGGTTGCGGGACAGGTTAGGCAGACGGTCACCCAGCGTCGCAAAGAGTTGCGTGGTAAGGCCCGAGCGAGACACCACGAGCATCAAGCCCACGACACAGATCAGGGCAAGAGTAATGGAGACGAGGCGGTGGAGCGGTTGCTGAGCGATGCGAGTCAGCAAAGCCGCGATCGAGAGCTGGCGTGGGAAGAGAGACTCACCATCACTCTTGCTCGCTGCTGTCCGTGTGGGTGGCCAGACTCGGCACTGTCGTGGCTGTACATTTCGAACCGGAGACCCCAAGTGCGTCTTCTGGCAGGCTGCCGAGCAAGGAGCTCTGAGCGTGTCGGCACCAAGACATAGTCATCGTCATCGTCTGCATCTGGATCTGGATCTGGGTCTTCGTCTTCGTCTTCGTCTTCGTATTCGTCTTCAGGTGAGTCTTGGTGTACGTCTTCGTGTACAGCTTGATCCTGTCTGGCAGTATTGCGCTCGTGTGCGACATTCGTGGTCTCGATGTTCCAGCGCGACAGGGACTTCTAGTCGCGGACGCGAGGGGCCGAGGCGCGATTGCCCATAGCTGAAAGCGTTTCGGGGTGATGGATGTCGGTGGTGGCGAGAAGGCTCGAAGCGGTAAATGGCCGCTGCTGATGATAAAGAGGCGGTGTTCTGTTTTGGCTGCGAAAGAGGAAAGGGAAGGAGCACTGCGCAGCAAAATGGAAAGTTGGCGTGGTGCCCTCAGAGAAGGTGGGAAAGCTGCTCGGGCCCACGTCATATGCAGCTGCGGCAGCATGTGCAGGCGCATCACTGTGGCAGTCAGACCGCACGTCGTGATACTGCTGAGATAGACTCACACGTACAGTGGCAAGCTGGTGCAATGCTCACCAGTAGCAGTTGCGATGTCGACAATCATCAGGGAGGCCATGTTGACGCGGCGTTGGTCACTCCTTCCACCGCTTCACTTACGAGCAGCCGATCGAGATGGCTATTTGGGCACGCCTATGTTTTCTCACTTCTTGGAAGTCCTGATAGGGATTGTTTGTAATCTCGCGTTTGGCCTCGGTATTCGACATACGCCCGTACCTCTCTGGTTCGTAGATCTTTATAGCATGCTATAGCGTTGCAAGTCATTGTCAGAGCGGTTGATCATCAGGTTGAGATGTTTGTTCTTTCGCGTCGCAAACCAAAGCGAATGGTCAAAAACAGCAACCAGCTGCTTACGTCTGTATCTCCGACACTCAACTAGTGGTTCTTCTTCCTGCCACCTGCCAATTCGCAGCAAACCCTCTTTTCTTCATCAATCTATCTCACCACCCCACCTCCACTTCCACAAACCTCAACCAAACTTGCAGTCTTGATCGTATCTTAACGCCAACACGTCTATAGCTTCTCCCATCATCATAAACGGCAACGATCGATCACTCTCAATTTCTGGCGTGCCGCTGGACAGCTTTCCATCTGAGGTACAATCACAAATTGGCAGATATCTCGACGGAAAGTCTCTTTCCAATGCAATTCTTGTCAATAAAGAGTGGTTCTTCAAGGCGCTCCTTCCGTTCCTTCGTCCCACCTTACGATCGTTGTTCATCGGAGCCTGCTGCACTATGGATGCTACTGTGATCAAATCACTCATCGACTGTGTCCAGCTCCATCTGTTATCGTTGGATGAGTCCGTGCTAACTTCGATCGTAGACAAGTTTCTGAAATACCTCCGCGAAGCTGAATCTCTGCGTTCAGTTCGTGGTCGGACTCGCTCAAATATCCAGTATGAGACCCTGTAATAGATCTGTTGTATTTTTAAATCTCCTCGCTTGGCCAAGAAGCATGAATAGTAGAGCTTTTGAAGGTCTAAGCTGCTCTGTGTTTGCGACTGGCCTTCCAACCACAACTTCCAGCCCGTCGAGGGAACAATCAGACCGATCACTTTGTTACTTCCATCTCGACCGATTGGCTCCACATCTTGACTAAGAGTGAACTTGAGATCTGGTTCTCTTCTCATAGCAAAGATGTCAACATGGCTGTGAGGTGCATAGAGAACATGGCGCAGAGTGACCTCGCAGCTAGGTCTATCTGCTTTGCCACCGCGGTAGGTCCTTGTAGGCAGGACAACTGTACCTATGCCGTGGACATCTATAGATGGTTCTGCTCCAGGTATTGATGCAAATCTTGTGCGAAACCGAGTTTAAGATATGAACCATGCTCGATCAGTGGCCACGTGGTATTTGAAGTGTTTGAAACAATCCAGTCCACATTGTAAGAGGCACCATGAAGGCGAGCTTGACTGGAAGTGATGCGCGAAAGTCAATTGAATGATACGTAGAATCTGATGGAGACCATAGACGATGATGTGAAAGAGAGGAATGCGATGCTAGAATACTCGAGTAGAGCGACAAGGAAATCTCGGAAGCTTTCTCCACTGCTGGCCAAGACACCAATAGAGAACTGTCAAGCCAGCAATCATCTCTCTGCAATTGGATCTTGCCTTCTTGTTCATGCGTTCCCGGCAGCTGAACAAAGGCGAGACGCCAAATTTGACAAAGATGCGCCTGCCCGATATCCTCGTTCGATCTCGCTCATAAGAGATCGCCCGATCTGTCTTAGCTTCTCGTGCATCCATCTTCACTTAGCTTTCCATCGCGCCGTGCCACCAACTTCGCGAGTCATAGAAGGAGCGAACGACGGCGTCGACAGTGTTGATAAGTCAGTTCTGTTGACATCACTAACCATCCAAATGACAACCACAATTGAAGTCTGAGTCCGCCAGCTTGAGAATCCACGCGAGTGAGACCGGTTTCGCCGCTTTGTCCATCCTCAACTATCGCGTACGCAGCAGACACGTCGATTCTTCTCTACGACAGCGCTCTAAAGTTGCATTGCAATAGTCGCACCGCTTGCAGTGCTGCCTTACATCTGCTCAATCATCATTCAGATCACTTCACGATACGCCCGTCATGCAGGAGTCACGCCAACCATCTTTCAACATTCTGAAAGCCGCTTACAACATTCTCGGCTGCGGCACAAGACTGTTCGCGTATTTTCGTGATCAAGAATCAGAGAGGAAGACACAAATGTTTGAGTGGGAAAAGAGGCTTGCATACGTTGGAGAAGAGGTTGACACTGAAGACGACGACATCAGTGCAGATGAACGTGTTGTACAACTTGCAAGAAGCTGTGGGGTTGCGAGGTAAAGAGACTGAACGACATCTCGAGATCAAGTGTTCTAAGCGGTATCTCATATGAGACATTTCTAGGCACGAACTTGTCGAATGTCATATTTCAGAGGGCTCTGTCTGGAACCACGAAAATCACCTCTCAAACACGAGATGGCTGTATTAAAGATCCGCCCCTCTTCTCTTAGCACACATCCGATAGCCCACTTACCGACATGCAGTATCTCAAATACAAGTCAAGCGAGAAAGACCGCCTTAGCACATCTCTCGAAAAGATGCTTGACTGTCTTTCTTATCATGATCAGACTAGTAAAACTCCGGAAAGAATGGGTGAAATACACGTACAGGCTGATCTTGAACGTCGGGTACGCACAACAGGAATCGCAGCAGCCCTACAATTTTTCGTACCTTACGCTTCTCTATACTCGCAAGGCTCTTAAGTGGCAAGGAATCTAACAAGTGAGCAGACCAGCTTATACAAATATCTGGCCACAAGAGCGACATCTCATAGGTATCCGGTGTTGACGGTGGGCTAGAGTAGGAATGTTGTCCAAAGAAGTGCCAAGCTCGGAGATGTCGGTCCCTGCGCACATACCATCTTGACATGCGGGCGGATGAACAGATGTGGGGCTGCGATCTGATTACGTCAATGCTACTTATTAACCTAGCGTTATTGGAAGGAAACTACAAAAACGTAATCATATTAATGGGATATACATTCACACCATCCTACACGCAATACAGGGTCGTATTGCCCCATTAAGATCATCGTTCGTACAGTATCTCCAATTGCCTTGGGATTAAGGAACACATTACAAAGAAGTGTGGGGCCTTGATAGCAGACGACCGACTAATTTAGAGTCATCTTTCCAGACGGATATTCAATTAATTGCGTCGCGCCTCATGTGCGTGATGGAATCTCCCCATAGATAGCAAGCATACAGATCAAGTAAGGTTAGACAAGAGTCAAGGATTGCTCAAGACGGAAAGCTACCGCGAAAAATCATGAACAGCTCATACTTGTCGTGACATAGCGTGGAGCCGATGTATATACGTCGTACAGAACTTACAGGCCGTCGTAATACTCCTATACTCCGTGATCCCTGTGGTGCTTGCGAGTATATGTCGTTACTCGAATGTAGAAGAGGGGATGCGGAGGTCGATAATGAGCAGAAAAGTGCACGGCTTGGCGCAGCTTAAGACGTTCTGTCTTTCCAAGACAAATCCACGCTCTGAGTCCAGATAAGGGCGCAAAGAGTCTGGATGGCCGGCCTCTTGAGATTCTTAGCAAAAAACCATTCCTATCTGCGAAGATAGCCGCCTTCCCCCGACTTTGTGTGCTTCATCGAGACGTCAGCAAATCAAGAGTCGACGTCGTTCGCCTTGGTCCTGATCTTTGCCTGCTCATTCCTCGCTCTGCTCACCTTGTACCCAGCGTGATATGTGTTCTGCCCTGCCGTGTGTTCCTCTTCGTCAGATCTGCGGGCTGCGTAAATTACGTAGTCCACGATTGCCTCGAGGTGCGAGAGATTCATATTGTGGTTGATGATCTTGTGACTCTTGACACTATTTTCAAATCGATCGTCGAATTCATTATCCCACACGTTCCTATAGAAGCCGGCGAGGGAATCAAGTGGTGCGCAGATCTGCTGTTTCCTGTGACAAAACTTCCCTTTGGCGAAAAGTATACCCGAGTCCTCGATGCGCTCATTGTTCATAGCCCGCACATTGTCCAGAATCGAGACGATCGATTGGAGTCCCTACGCAAGACAGTGTGATCTAAATACTCATGTTTCCGAGATTTGATTGATCACCCGAAAAGGTAAAGTCGACCAGCTTCATCACCTGCGACTACCGGATCGTGCGGCAGCTCTTGTACCACAAGATATGACATCGACCTCCTCAACATCTCTGTGCCTGCGCAGCCAAGGGGCAAAAATTGGTACAAGGTCAACCTCGGCACATGGTCAGCGACGAGCCCTGACTATCAGATCAAGATCGGCACTGCCAAAGGTCTTGGACTGGGGATCGACTATCCAATTCCCAGTGGTCTCCCCCGCTATTCATGGCGAAACTCCTTCACCTTACACGACATCTCGTAAGAATGGAGCCCGAAAGAGTGTAAGAACTGGAAGTACAAGAGCGCTAGACCCAGCAATGGCCACCGTCATGATTTCCATCTATGGTGTGAATCTGACTGCTAGAGGACCAGGGTGAATGTGGAGATGGAGGTTGATGTTTCTTGTTGATATCGTTCCTGCCTTAATGTTTTTGGTCTGATCTCGGTTTCGTTCGAGTAAGTCCCAGTACTACTTGATTCAGATGGTAAAAGAGTGAGGAAAGAAATCCTGAAGTAGTCTAGCACGCATCTCGAGCTTGAAAGGACCCTATCTCTATCTCGTGTTGGATTACCTAACGTGATCTCTTCTCGCTTGTAGGACCGGCTGATGGTGCTTGTAGATGTGCCGTTCGATAATTCACATAACAGAGGAAGAGAATGTGGACGTCCTTACTCGCGGCAGTGGTGAGCGAATGGCTCGTAAGAGCGCATTCCCACGTTCGCATCTATTGACATTGACATTTCCGACTGATTATGATGTCGTAGGACATTGCTGATTCATATAGTGTCCAGACAACCTCGAGCTGGTGGTAGACAATCGGAAAACGAATATTAGCGTGCGTGTATTCTGCCGCTCGGACCTGCGTCTCAACTTTCAGCTTCGGTCAGAAGGCCTTAACTCCGCTTCACTTCACTCCTGCCCAACATCAACCAAAGCGTATTCCCTCTTGCCAACCGGCTCGACGGGCGCATGTGACTACTCGGTTTGATCATGTCTCAAAAGTACAATCAATATGAGCGACCATCCCCATCACAAAACTCAGCAACGGTCGACAGAGTCGTCGAGTTCGTGCACGTCAGCATACCTCAAGCCAGCCTGCCGCTGCATCCAAACTTGAAGCGTTCACGAATTCTGAGCAGCTCACGATCAGGTAACAGAAGGTCGAGGCGGATGCTGAGTCATGTATTTGCAAATCGAGACGGAGCTGGTGGCAGATTGTCGGGGATCGAGCGTCAGATTGCGCGCATTCTGGCGCTCGGACTCGCGACTCAACTTCCAGCTTCGGCCCGAAGGTCTCAACTCCGCTCCGCTTCGCTCCTGCCAAACGTCAAACCGTAGTATTCGTGCTCGCTCTTGCCTACCAAATCGACGCGCTCATGTGAATTTTTCCGAAGTTGGGCGCCGGCGAAAATACGATGAACGACTTTCATTCTAAACAAGCTTAGCAATGGCCGGCAAGGTCATCAAGGTCGTCGATGGCAGCATAATCCAAAGTCAGCCCGATGCTGGCTCTGAACTACGACAAAAGCAGGAAGCGTTTGAATTCGAGACTTTCGAAACCCTCGAAGAGTACAGGGTCAGATATCAGAAGCTCGAGGCAGATTTCTCCCAGGCTGGCTACAACCTCTTTCCGTTGTTACGACCCTCAACACAACACATTGTTCAGTTTCTGACAGGATCCCGGCATCGCTCTGCTCCTTCACTTGATGCGCTGGCCGTGTCGCAGTGGAGCCTAGATCCTGTGAAGCTTGTGAAATTCTTCGGCCAGGAGATCTTCGCTTCGGACAAGTTTCTAGGGGATTTGCGCAAGCTAGCAAGGGACTTCGCAGAGTCGCACTCTTAGGAGAGTGTGTACTCTTCGCTGAAAGACGCTCGCAACACCCGCCGCGATCCCACGAATACGGTTGCACGTGTGTCTCGAACTCGCGACTGGACGCCATCCGACATCACCAGCGCCAGGAAAACTTTGGAGGGTATGGACAGGCAAACCCAGCATGGAGCCACGATGTCCGAAGCCGAAGCGTCCAGAGCCACAATAACCAAAGTCATAGCCAACGACGAAGCTTCACTCACCAACGGAGTCATCGCCTTTGGCCAGTCCGACCGAGGACTGCAGGACGCTGGCGGGGCTCGTGGTCAACATCCACTCAAGCCAGAGGACGAAAACGACCATGACGATCAGCACAACAAGACTGCACCCGAGAACGAGCACAATCGGCAGTACAGCGAGCCACCAGACCCTCAACACTCCACGAGCAACACAATCACGTCACGCAAACGCAAGCGAGACAGAGTCGACAGGCTTCAGATCGAGAGCAAAAGGCTCACCTCGATCCGATGCGGGAGAGTGCTGACGGGAATTCATTGAATCAGGATAAGAAAGGTGGAAACGGCCAGAAGCAAGAGTCTGACACAAATGAGTTTGACCTTCAAAGCAACATCAGTAACTCCTGCCACAATGCCGACGAAAGTCCTGTCGGTGGCGGTACCAACGTGTCAGTTGAGAGTATTGAGGTGGGAAGGGGCGGTAGGGGCGCCATCGCGCAGGCAGGCTTGCTTGCAGAAGTAAGCGAGATGGATGTTGGCGCTTTCGATGCTTATGGCGGCTATGACCACAACGACGACGACAATTCCAGCAACAGCATGGGTATCTCGCCTTCAAGTGCTCTCTTAGAGGATGATAACGCCAGCTTCTTCCAATCTGCCATGGGCGATTTTTACGAGCCTCTCGTCGACAAGAGCTTCAGAACTCCTCTTAGCCTTACGCCGTGGAGTCTCTCGAGCCGAGATGTCGAATTTGCCGCCGCGACCGACAGTCACAAACGAACAGACCAGGTCCTTCCGTTCGAGACACTGCCTCCATCTATCACCGAACCATTGATAGCCACGACGTCCGCTAGCGCTGTTCATACCAACATCGCCGCCTCCGCAGTCACAGCCGGCATTGCCATCCCTGGAGAAATGCAGCAGCATGTCATGAACCAGCTCGCGCCCTCGAAGAAGTTGGGTGACTCGGCCTTGGAAAGCATACTTCCTTTCTGGCTTCCTCCGACGTTTCACCTACTCGACATCCACACTCCGCCATCGTGGGTCTCTTTCAGCCTTCCTATCAACTGGCGCACGAAGGCTCATGAGTGTCATCACCTCTTCGTGTGCCTCTACAGACCGCACCGCAGG